TATATTTCTTTTTCAGTTCTTTATATATACATGTGTGTATGTATACTTGCATGTAAGAGCAGACTATATATACTGTGTAACTTTATATCCACTTTTATCTTAATATTAAATCATGAGCATTTTCTCACATTATTTTTAAAACTTCAAAATATTTTAAATGTATTATTTAAACACCCTCTCCCATTTCTGAACATTCTGATTGCCTATTTTTTTCCACTGTCATTAATAATTCTGTCATGAACCTCATTTTACCATGCAACCAGCTTTGGCCTACAGAATGCAAGTTCACACTCAAAATACATTCTGAAGAAACATTAAAGAGGAGATACTATGGAAAGGAGTGAGACTAGGCATCCAAGCCCCCAGCCTGCCTGCCTGAGTATGAGGGATAAAAACACATTACCATTTGACAGCTGCTCTGAGGTCTGTAAAAAGTAAATTAAAAGATTCCAGTCTCTACCTGATGGCCAGAGGTCCACATGGCTTCAGATGATACCAAGTGGTCTATACTTGATTCTCGGGTTTAATAATGGCAGTTCACGTGAGCAGAGCTATGGGAAACAAGTGTGATCCTACACACAAAGCACCTCACTCAGGCAGTTTTGGTTTAAGAATACAGCTGTGCACATATCCATTTATAAACATGTAAGCTAAAAGGACTAAAGACTCACTGGAAACCCAAGAAAAACAATTAATGTATTACAACGAGAGAATGCAGCAAAATAGGTTTTTAAAACTTTTATCATTGTGCTTTAGATAGCCAATATTCAAAATAAAGAGAGAGAAAAATAGGCAGACATTTATGACATCATTCCATAAGCAGGGGCTTCCTGGGAGGGGGAGACGAGGGGGCAATTAAAGAACAAGCTGGGGTGGTAATGGGTAGAAATACAATCTTTATAATATCAAATCCAGTATGATATCTTATGATTCCTTACAATACTCCCATTACATTCAAAATTCACCTTTACCAAGTGACAGATTACTAACCTGACAAATTTCAAGCTATTCTCATGTTTGAAAGTTATCCTTGATAAAGCTATCAGAAGTCTAAAAATATTCAAGACCCATGCACTGAATTTATTTGTATATTAATTTTGCCACTCATGCAGCATTGCTGCTTGTTTTACCTGACAGTATGGCTTCTGGCCAAAGGCATATTTTGAAGAATTCCATAATGCCTGAAGAAAGGGTTCTTGAGATCCAATTGATTTTTTTTACCTCATCAATCTAAATATTATAGTAATGATAATATCTTTGATAGCTATTCTCCAAGAAGAGAGCTACAACATTTCTCCTTTACTGACACGTGGTCCCCTCTGAAAATCAGATGAGGGCTATGTCTTCTCTTCCTGAAGAAATATGCATGTACACCTACAAAATTCTTCAATTTCCAGAGGCCCTTGGACTCCCTGAATCCCTGGAAACAGACTCTATACCAGAAAAAAGGGGAATTTACAAAGATATTGTAAACTGGCAGACGAAGAGTTGCAGAGAGAAATAAAGGATGGGAAGAAGAAAACGAAGTTTCCCACCCTGGGCCAGACGTGGCCTAGACATTTCCTCTCACTTACTTTTCACAGCAGTTTTGTGCACTACATATTTTTTTTATAGTCAAGGAAACTAAGGTTCAGAGAGGTTATGTGACTTTCCCACAGGTCTCACTGCTGCAAAGTGGCAGAGCCAAAACACAAACCTGATCTTCTGACTTTAGGTCCAGTGCACACCTCACTTAGCACTTACAAGGTGAACTTACTACAGTTTCACCTTGGGACTTCTTAAGACTGAACTGAACCATTAGACTAAACGCATCTACTGTGAACTCCCAGAGAGGAGGGTCCACGTCTCATTCCCTCTATATCTCCAGCACACAGACGGCACATAGAAGGCATTCCTTAAAAGAGGAGTGAATGAATACATGCACACACTGGGGCAACAATCCCACTGATAGTGGCAGAAGCTATATGCCGCTGTACGTTGCCACAACATAAAGGTCCTTGTCATAACTATTCCTTTAGATCACTGGACACAGACATTAATATATTTTAAAACACATATGGTAAAGTTCTTGTACTAGAACAGTGTTTAATCTTCTTGAAAAATAACCTTCTCATAAAACACAAAGTAGCTTTCTATCAATCTGCCCCATATTATTAGAATAATTAACATCCTTTGTTAGCCAATTAGTGTATCTTATGAAAAGCAACTTATATTCAAAATAAATACATAAATTAGGACTATTTTTTAAAATACTTAATTTTACTAATTTCCTAACTAGAACTTAAGTGCATTTTTGTTTTGTTTTTGTTTTTGCAATAATTGCTCTGAAGATAAAACCAAAGCACCATTTCAATGTAATGAAGGTAATTGGTGCATTTACTGCTCATGTCATGTTGATGCATGACTATGTATCAAAGGTCATCCTTCTGTACTCATACATTATCAAATTTGAAAGCACAATATTTGATTCTGAACAACCTTTATCTGGCCAAAATGTGTGTGAAAAATAGATAGAGCTCTACCTTGGGTTGAAAAAAAAAATGAGCCCATGTTTCGGAAGCAGAAGGGTCAAGAAGCCATTGGCAAGGTTAGATGTCAGCACTATGAATCTCAGATTGTCTTAGCTTATCAATGAGGTCTAGTACAATGATCACAAGCTAAAATTGCTGTACTAATGAAGACAAAGGTCTAAAAAATTAGTTAGTGCAGTCCCTCTGACAGAGGGCAGTACCTGGTGGACAATAATGCAGAAATAAGGATATAAATCACTCTTCAGAGATAATAAAACCTATAATGCACAAACTGAGTTGTTTACGTGTCTATTCAAGGCACTGTTAAAAACAGAAGGTGTAAGCTGCCATGTCTCTTCTTACTCATCTGGAATGCAGCTGCCCCAAATTCAGCTTCTTTATTAGAAAGCGAGGCATCTGCTTCCCATTCTCTTCCAGTTCCAGATACACAGCACTACTTTTCCAACACATAATTTAGTAGTCTTGTGCCATCCCAATCTGAAAGAAGTATTGGACATTCACTTTGGCTTCAAAGTTTTGCTTACAATTGTTTGCTGGGTAGATAAATTGGTCTTACCAGAATCTACTAAAACATGAACAGCTGCTGTTTTCTCCTTTGATGGTTCAGGTGCAGGGGGAAACAGTGGGAAGGAAGAAAATCCTCTCCTTTTTCTGTAATGACTGTGGTTATTTTGAAATAAATAAAATATAATTTAATTTCATGAAGCCCAACTACAGGAGATTGCCTTATTGAAGAAAAGATCATACAAACATACAAAAGGAATCCAGTCTTCAAAAAAGAAAACACTGCTGAAAAGGACCAGGAAGGACCCATTACATTCACCCAAAACATGTCTCAAGCATATCAATTTTCTTTCAGTCTGTACTTTATTTTATATAATTCACACCATTCTATTCTGAAAATTCAAGTATTCTTTGGATATGTGAATATTCTTAATCGAGAATGCAAGTCCATTCCAAATATATTGTATTATTTTTTTGTTGATAGAAGAAAAAGATATTTTTTAAAACCAAACCACTGTAATTTAATAAAATGTGTCAACTCGTGGCAGCTAGGCAAAGCCTTTAGAATTCTTGCTATAGACAGTAAGGCACAAGTAGCCAGTTTCACTTTTAGAAAAAAGACAATTACGGTGGCTCATGCCTGTAATCCCAACACTTTGGGGGGCCCAGGCGGGTGGATCACCTAAGGTCAAGAGTTCCAAACAAGCCTGACCAACATGGTGAAACCCCTGTCTCTACTAAAAATACAAAAATTAGCTTGGTGTGGTGACAGACACCTGTAATCCCAGCTACTCTGGAAGCTGAGGCAGGAGAATCGCTTGAACCCGGGAGGCGGAGGTTGCAGTGAGCAGAGATCACACCATTGCACTCCAGCCTGGGCGACAAGAGCAAAACTCCATTTCAAAAAAAGAAGACAATGAATAACTTAGTTAGCTTTAATTCATAAATTATACCACACTAGAGCAAGTTTCAATTACACTTGCCATGTACAGTAACACATTTCCTTTTGAAGCTTTTTATTTTATTTTTGAGATAGGAGTCTTGCTCTGTCACCCAGTCTGTAGTGCAATGGTGTGATCTCTGCTCACTGCAACCTCTGCCTCCCTGGTTCAAGCAATTCTCCTGCCTCACCCTCCTGAGTGAGTAGCTGGGACTATGGGTGCATGCCACCACACTTGGCTAATTTTTTGTATTTTAGTGAGACAGGGTTTCACCGTGTTGCCCAGGCTGGTCTTTGCTACTGAGCTCAGGCAATCTTCCCACCACAGCCTCCCAAACTGCCAGGATTACAGGTGTGGGCCACCATGCCCGGCCTATTTCTTTGAGGCAGAGTCTTACTCTGTCGCCCAGGCTGGAATGCAGTGGTGTGATCTTGGCTCACTGCAACCTCTGACTCCAGGGTTCAAGCAATTCTCCTCTCAGCCTCCAGAGTAGCTTGGATTACCGGGTTCGCCACTCTGACTAAATTTTGTATTTTTAGTAGAGATGGAGTTTCACCATGTTGGCCAGGCTGCTCTCAAACTCCCGACCTCAAGTGATGCACCCCCCTCAGCTTCCCAAAGTGCTGGGATTACAGGCGTGAGCACCTGGCCCCTTTTAATGCTTTTTAGATGCAAGTATCTGACTTTAAAGTCTGAATTCCTATGGCCTATATACTTAAAAAGAAAATATTCTTACCTTATTTTGCATGTTGTATGTATGTGCATGCGTGTCCAGGCTCCACTAGATACAGATGTCAAAAAAGCAGCAACTTTATCCAGACCATTTCTAACTTAATGCCAATTATAACACTAAATGAGTCAGAAAATAGATAATGAATAAAAATCAACATAAAAACAAAAAGATATTTTTAAATGCCTCATTCCATATATATTTATGGGAGCAGAAAGTGAAGGGTACCGAGATCTTCAATGGGAACTTATTAAACGAACCCAAAATATTTTATGTACAAGTTAGAAACCTTACCCAAATCATGGATTCATGTGAATTAGGGATGAGCTCCTATACTGTAATCCGCCTGAGCACATGTTGTGAGGTCATCTCCAGTTCAATTCATTCATGATTAGAGCTTCTCCTATGTCAGGCATTGAGAGTACAAAGCACATGAATCCCCTTACCCTCAATGTGCTCACAGTTTCCATATTCTTATGTCTTGAGCTAATTCTTCTCACTTTCTAGCTCCAACTCCTCAATTTGTAAGTTTCAGGAAAAGCAGCACACCAACCATTGATGCTGAGAAAGTCAGATCTATCAGTTATATGAATCCACTCTAAACATACCTGTACCAGGCATCATGCCAGCTTTTGTTTTTATTTTCTGTTATTTTGTTTGAGAGCAAAAGTGAGAAAATAAAATTGAGGAACATGGCCTATCTTCAGTGTTAGGTCAAATGAGGGAGATAGACAGAACGAATAATAGGAGGGGTCAGGAAACTACAAGATACATAAAGCGTATAAAGTGCAATTGGAACAAAAAAGCAAGTAACTGCTTAGAAAATTGGAGGAAGATGTCACTCGGAAGATTACAGATAATGCTAAGCCTTGAAGAAATGAGATTTTAAAAAATATAGATCGTATGAGGATAGGGCATGGCATCTCTCAGACATATGAAATACCCATGGCCAAAGCATAAAGGAGAATACTGGGAAATAGGCTGAAAAGGTGATTTTTGACTCAGAAGGGCTTCCTTGCAAGTTGCCTAAGGAGTTCCAATATACAAACGAGCCATAGAATATTTTTAAAGATGTGTGTTTTAGAAAGCTCCAACAGCAATGTGGGCAATGGATCAAAAAGACAGAGAAACCAACTGGAGTTTGCCTAAATTGTGAAGAACAAGTTACCTGGCCCTTTCCCTACTCAATAGTTCAAACAATTTTAGATTTGCATAATTCTCCACACTACAAAATCTTCACTAAGAGTATATTTCCCATACTACGTTTGTGGTCTGTGTGTTAGTGCATACTACCTATTCAACAGATATTGCCTTCTATGTGTTGGACACTGGGAATAAAATGATGAGCAAAAACAGGTGTGGTCCTGCCTTCAAGGAGTTCATAGTTTCATATGGGAGATAATATTATGAAGGAATTTCAAGGAAGGGTGTTTAGTAGAGTGTCTGGCAAGTCTTAGGTTAAGACTGCCCCGAAGAAGTAACAGTTACCACAAAAATATGAGAAACGAAAAAGAGCATTAATCTATTTTTTACATCTACCAAAGGAGAAGATTCATAGGTACTAAAAAGAGCATGGACTCAAAGATCCTAGGTTCAGATTCCATTTGCAATGCCCATAAACTAAATAGTCTTGGGGAATGAATTTAATCTGTTTGATAGGATTCTATCTCCTTACACGGTTGTGAAAACTGTGTGAAAGTACTTAGCATACAGTGCCTGACCAAGAGAAGGTATTCAAAAAATGTACATTTAATTTCCCACTTTCTTCACCCTTCAAAATATTTATTTTCATGACAATAAATGATTTTTCCCAGTTGTCCTAAATCAAGCGCCAGGTATCTGGTAAAAGTCATTGGCAGCTGAAAATCTTGCCTATTCTCACAGAATCCTGGACTAAGAACTTAAAAATCTAATTTATGAGGGAGATTTTTGAGAACATTTTTAATCCTTCCAGAGTACTTCCAACTTCCATCAACTTTGCTGCCAAAAAGGAAAGTATAAATACTTTAAAAATAGAGAAAAATGCATAAAGCAGAAAATCTAGGTTTTAAAAAGCATCAAATAATATAGAACTTTATAATTGGATGGTGTTTCCTTCTCCTAAAGTCCATTAATAGAATGAATTAAACCACGTATGAGAGAAGCTCTGTAGGAACAAGAATGGAAAATTAAATGGAATCTAAGTTTCAAACGCAGGCAAACTGATAAAGGACAATTGGGGCAGGATAGCTACTACCCAATAAATTTAGTAATTTTTAGTCATTTAAAAATAGCATTAAAGTAGAAAATGTAGATTCGTTTCTGAGGAAGAAAAAAAATAGGCTAAGAAATAATATATGGAGTGATACAATTTAAAAAGGTTTTCATTCTGTACTCAATTTTCATTCTTGTTTGTATTCTAACAAATGTACTTTTCCATATTTACATATTCTGTCTACATTCAGAACCTGAATATGTTTACTTATTAACCAGTAGAATACATACACTTAAAACTTCAATAATTTTGAAACAAGTCAAGTTACATAACTGTAAGATATAGCAGATCAGCAATTCACAACCATCTCTACCTTGGTTCATCTTTACATAAGTATTTGAATAACTTTTAATGTCTCTTTAGGAGTTCATAAACTATATCTAGATCTCTTCTATAATTTTCACAATTAAGTTATACCAAATGGTAACTCCATGACTATTTCAAAATACCTATTCATAATTCATAAATTATCTTTATTCTTTGGCCCTTCAACTAATGGATTTGCACATAGGTAATAAATCCAACAGAAAATATTGTAAAGTATATTGTAAGAAGAAAGTTTTAAGATCATTAAGTAGTTGCTGTTCACTGGAAAAAAAGTAAACTTGCTGCATTTTTTAAATAACCTTACTTAAACTCTGACACCAACATTGAAAGGCAGTGTAAAATTAATGGTTCAATACAAATCATCCTACATTAACAGTTAAGATCTAAGTTCCAGCTTGGCTCAGATGCCTGCTATACCTAAGACCCTGTGTCTTAGCCCAAGTGTGTTGTTAAGGAATACCTGAGGCTGGATATATTTTTTAAAAAGAAGAAGAAGAAGAAGATGAAGAAGAAGCGTATTTGGCTCACAGTTCTGCAGGCTGTACTGGAAGCATGGTGCCAGCCTCTACCTGGCTTCTGGTGAGGGCCTCAGACCACTTCCACTCATGGCAGAAGGCAAAGGGGAGCTAGTGTGTGCAGAGATCACACAGGAATAAAAAGGGAGCAAAGAAGAGAGGGAGGGAAGATACCAAGCTCTTTTAAACAATCAGCTTCCTCTGGGGAACAAATAGAGCAAGAACTCATTACTGCAAGGACAACACCAAGATGTTCATAGGGGATCCGCTCTATGACTCAAACACCTCCACAATGGGGATCAAATTTCACCATGAGGTTTGCAGTGGTCAAACTAAATACAGCATCATTTCTAAATCATTTAGGGTTTTTGGAAACAGCATACAATATTTAGTGAAAATTATCATATAATCAGAATATCTCTCCCCTAATACACGAACATGCACACCCAAAGCTACAGCTCTCCTGATACAATTCTGTTTTCCATAACAATGGTGACTGTGTGTCCAATGCATAAAATGAGTTTGTATGAGAAATAGCAACTTCAAGAATAAAAGGCCTAGCTTAACAAGAAGTAGCAAAATCTCCAAACTTGGGTTCCAAGTGGAATGATTCCAATTTAATTAAACAGATATATTTTTTTATTTACTGCCCCAGTGTCTATGTGAGTGGAAGCATATCTCAGGTAGAGGAAAAGCTCAAGAAGGCTGAGAGATGAGAAAAGACTCTGTATATGCAAAGCACAGAAAACACGAGTATTGCTACTTTTAAAACATGTGTGTGGCTGGGGGAGGTGGCAGTGGCCGTAGTTGTGGTGCCGATGCTAGCCATAACTAGGAGCAAAATTTCACAGGGCTTTGCAGGCCTTATTAACAAATTTGAACCTCATCTCAAGAACACTCAAAAGTCACTGAAGGGTCTAAGCAATGGTGTAGCATGATTCATTTTCCATTTTTTAAAAACTTATGCTGCAGCGCACAGAATAGACAGCAAGTATACAAGGTTGGAGACAAAGAAACCAGTTAAGAGACAGCTTTGGTAATCTTAAATGATGGAAGCCAAAATTAGAAGGCCGTACAACAGAAATCAAAAGTAAGTCCTCTGAAGTCATTTACCTACATTCAAATCCCAGATTTTCCATTTACCAGGTGTACAACTTTAAGCAAGTTGCTTCCTGCTATGGTTCGAATGCTACAAAAAGCATACGTTGGAAACTTATGCTGAACTGTTGCATTGGAAGCTGGAGCCTAATGAACATGGATAGGTCATGAGGGTGGAGCCCTCATGAATGGATTCATGCTCATTACAAAAGAGCTTGAGGTTGCAAATTCCATCTCTTGCTCCCTCTTGCCCTCTCTTACCTTTCTGCCATGGGATGACAAAGTACAAAGGCCCTCATCAGATGCTGCATCATTCTTTTGGATTTCCCAGCTTCCAAAACTGTGAGTCACATAAATTTTTGTTCATCACTTTACTCAGTCTGTGGTATTCTGTTATAGCAGCCCAAACGGACTTAAATACATATTCTCTCTACAACTCAGCTTTCTCTTCCTATAATCCAAAGATAAAAATCTTCACAGGATTCTTGCCAAAGTACAAATAAAACAATATATATACAGTAGTTAGCACGTTGCCTGGCACAGAATAAGAATGCAAATGTTTATCATTATTAATGCAAGGCAAATAGAATGAGAATATAACGAGAAGATGTTTAGGAGACAAAAATTGACAGTTTAAATAAAGGAAAAAGAGATGAGTTTGCAGCTTCTGGCTTACAGAGTAATCTATTTGATAAGATGAGAAACATAGACTGAATGTTCTGAAGGTTTGAAGCAAAGGATAGTGTTCATTCTTGAATATATTGATTGTGAGTTCATTCTTGAATATATTGTGAGAGACATGCCAGTAGGCAAGCAAATATACAGATCTGAAGTACAGGAACAGATCAAAGCTGGAGATCTGAGATTCAGAGAGACAGATGGTAAGTCCAAGGGTGTTGAGAAAGAATATGCACAGTGAAGAAATGATGACACTAGGTAGAACCTAAGGAACACCAACACTTAAAGGACATTGAGAGCAAGAGGCCAGATAAATAAGAATAATACTATATGATATGTGAAAAACCAAAAGAAAGTATCTCAAAGAGGGAGTATTCAACAATGTCAATAGTGCCAAGCAGTTAAACAAGGACTTGACAACAAAGTATTTATTCACATAGTATGCATCAAGCATTGTGCTAGACCCTTGAGATACAGATGTGAATAAGAGAAGACCCTTGCACAAACAGACATGTTGTGAAGATAGTAAACTAGCAAACAAATCAAATACAAATTGTAATAAGGATGGTGAGCAGAGAGTGACATGATAAGAGAGTAAAAGGCAGAGGCCAGCTTTAGGTGCGAGTTTCAGAAGGCATCTCTCTGAGGTAGAAAAATTTAAGCTGAAATCTGAGGCAGAAAAGGGCATGGTCAGAGAACCGAAAGGAGTTCCATATGGCTATGGCACAATGATGAAGGAAAGATGGAGAGAGAGAAGCTAGACCATGTTTGTGGATCATGCTCACAACATAGAAGAGTTTAGATGATGACCCATTGAGCATTTGTAATCAATGAAGCTAAGATCACTCTAGCTAATAGTAATTAACAGTTTGGCTTTTCTCATTATACTAATCTTAATAATCAGAAACAGGACATTTTACTACTGTTTCAACCATTAACTGTTTATTAAAATAATATCAGAATAAGCTTTTCTATCTTAAAGGATACTACATGGTTACAAATATGTTACCTATTGCATTAATTTTACTAATCCCCATTTAACCTTCCTTCATATTTCTTTCAAAGATATTTGTCATAATATCTGTTTGAGTCCATCAAATGTCTCTAAGGTACTCACTCATTTTCAAGCAATGTATATCAGAATTTGAATGTTTTATAACATGACTAAGCAAGATGTTGCTAAAATGTGTATGGGTCAATAACACACAAGGAACCTGATGAAATTCATCACCTTAAAAAAGATTATATTCTATAGTTTCAGCTTCCTATTTCCTTAATCTATGTATTTATACACATACATACAATAAAGAAAAGTTGATACAGAAAACATTGGCTTGAATCTGAGCAGCTGAATTACACATTCATATTCCTTTTTAATTTCCTCATCTACAAGAGGAAAAACTTATGGTCCTTTCATATTTTAAAGGCGTCAATAAGAACAAATGCCATCATCAGGTAGGGTGCTAGGCACATTAAATTATTTTTAATTATCCCAATACGTCTCAAAAATAAATATAATTCTTCCCACTTTACAGATGAAAAAAATAATCTCAGTGAGGTTAGGTGACTTGCCCAAGACTACAGTCATGGAATTTAAGCCCAATACAGTAGGCTCAAAAACTCTGGTTACTATACCAAGATGTCCCAGACTGTTAATAGATTGAGTTCCTTAAAAAAAACAACAGTCACATAGGAGATATCAAATCATAAAAATAGATTTTTAAATGATAAAAATATTTTGTTCAGTTTTTCAGAAACTGCGTATAACTTAGAAACATTAGCCAGACACACCATTCTTATACAGGTATATTTTTCCCTTCAGCATAATAACTTATTTCTATTTTTTTTAATATTGGAGAAGACAGATAAAAGGAGGCCATAACAGATAATCACACTGTATTTAAGGTCCAAGAATTACCACTGAGTTAAGTTTTTTTCCAGTTAATCCTTAATACAAATATTAAATTCAATTAACTACCAGCAACTCACTACCTATTCTCACAAAACTTGTTTCTCAAAGTTAAAAATTACAAATGGCTGGCCTAAGATGTTCCTGAATCAGAAAAACCTAACTTCTGATTAGAACCTCTAAATGTCACTATTTCTCTTAACTAGAAAGGAAACAAGTCTGAATAAAAGTATCATAATTTGCTCTAAGCAGAATCTACAGATGTATTGTATTGTGAGCTCTTCCTCCTCAGATTTTTCAGGTAGCCAAGTCATCCACCAAGATACTGCTTGAAGAAGACTAGACATTTAACAAAATGAAACTGATGCCAGATTATTTTTATTTTCCTTAATAAAATACAAAGAGCACAAAATTAACATATATATCATCATTTTACATGTATAAATAATGCTCAGAATTCAAGTACAGTCAAGTGCAGAAATATTTCCTATATGCTAATGTGTAAATATAAACTAATTACATACATCATGTGCCTTTGGCCCAGTTAAAAGACATCAAAAAGAAACACTGCACTTGACTGTTTCATTGCATTCTCATTGAGAATTCGTACCAGTGCCTGTGTAGTTACAGTTTTACTTAACTGTTCCATTGCATTCTTATTGAGAATTCGTACCAGTGACTATGTAGTAATAACTACAACTTTCATACCACTCAATGTAAACACCTAAGTAGACATTTCCCCCAGTTGTAAATATCTCAGGAGCTAAGCTTCTATCAATTTTTAATAATGAAGTAGTCAAAATCTTAACTGAGTTTCATTCCTTAAAACAAACACAGTTAGAGAACTTACTGTTAACCAAAGTTCTTCCTATGCCAAGACGGATATTTACAGGTTATACAGACAGAAAACAAAATGCAATCATGTTTGTTTACTTTTAGAATGGACAAAAAATATCTAAAAGCTGTCTCAATAATGTGGGTCTTTGTACATTCAAAAGGATCTTACTTCACTGATATCACTTGATTTTAATTTTAATACCCGATATATATAACTTTGTGATGTTCAAATAGCTAGGCAATCTGAATTCAAATGATACAGAAGCATACCCTTAGAGGGGCAAGAAAAGAAAGTACCACCGAAAAAGCAATAACTGACATCAACAAGACTATAAACATCCAGTTGAAAGCACGCGGAAGCATTTACTACTCTGCCACCAAAGACTGTCCACTTAGTTCAGGATCAGGAATAGAATCAACTCTGGGAACTGTGGAGTTGGCTTCCTCATTCTCAGTCTCTTCTTTCTCTTCAATCAC